CTGTGATTGGTCCTCATCACTAATTCATTCGTTCTGAGATCTCATCCTGACTGTGATTGGTCCTAATCACAGAGTCACTCATTCTGATCTCCTCCTGACCGTGATTGGTCCTAATCACAGAGTCATTCGTTCTGAGACCTCCTCCTGACTGTGATTGGTCCTAATCACAGAGTCATTCGTTCTGAGACCTCCTCCTGACTGTGATTGGTCCCAATCGCCAAGTCATTCGTTCTGAGACCGCCTCCTGACTGTGATTGGTCCTAATCACCAAGTTGTTCATTCCGAGACCTCCTCCTGACTGTGATTGGTCCCAATCGCCAAGTCATTCGTTCTGAGACTGCCTCCTGACTGTGACTGGTCCTAATGACCATGTCATTCATTCTGAGACCTCCTCCTGACTGTGATTGGTCCTGATCACCAAGTCATTTGTTCTGAGACCTCCTCCTGACTGTGATTGGTCCTAATCACCACATCATTCATTCTGACACCTCCTCCTGACTGTGATTGGTCTTAATCACCAAGTCATTTACTTTGAGACCTCCTCCTGACTGTGACTGGTCCTAATCGCCAAGTCCTTCATTCTGAGACCTCCCCCTGACTGTGATTGGTCTTAATCACCAAGTTATTTGTTCTGAGACCTCCTCCTGACTGTGATTGGTCCTAATCAGTAATTAATTTGTTCTGAGACCTCCTCCTGACTGTGATTGGTCCTAATCACCACGTCATTTGTTCTGAGATCTCCTCCTGACTGTGATTGGTCCTAATCACAGAGTCACTCATTCTGACCTCCTCCTGACCTTCTGAGATCTCCACCTGACCGTGATTGGTCCTAATCACCACATCATTCATTCTGAGACCTCCTCCTGACTGTGATTGGTCCTAATCACCACATCATTCATTCTGAGACCTCCTCCTGACCGTGATTGGTCCCAATCGCCAAGTCATTGGTTCTGAGACCTCCTCCTGACTGTGATTGGTCCTCATCACCAGGTTATTCATTCTGAGACCTCCCCCTGACTGTGATTGGTCTTAATCACCAAGTCATTTGTTCTGAGACCTCATCCTGCCTTTGACTGGTTCTAATCACCATGTCTTTCACCATGTGATTGGTCCCATAGAAAGCGATCTTCTAGTGGTGCTGAAACATACACTAAGCTCTTTTTAAGCATATTAACTACAGTGTGTTTCACAGTGGGTCACTTTCATTTAGTTCTTCCATCATTTAAAGTACACTGCCAGCTGTGGTTTGTTTTAATTTTTTTGTTTTAAAGTTTTTAATCTTTTTTTCTTCTTTACACCAAAGGAAACCTTACCCAGTACTGTAAACGGAGGGAATAAAAGTGTTGGAGTTACAAAAACTAATTTTATTAATACTGCTAAAACTGAAACCCATATTTTTATGTCACCTACACTGTTACAGATGAATACAGAGCAGCACTAGGGCGGGGCACTGCAGGAGCAGAACTGGAAACCTTTAAAGGGCTCTACAAATGGCCCAATTATTCAGAGCCACTTAGCTTAACTTCATCACATTGCACAATAATGTAACATTTCATGAAGAAAAACTGAAACTGTGTGCTGTACTTGTAGCCACTGTCAGCTAAAAATAATCACAGGGCCTGCCGAACCACAGCTAATATTGGACTGTTTTCCATCCACAGTTGTTTCAAATGTACAAGCTGCTGAAGGAAGAGGGAGGGATTATACAGTACTGAGCACAAGTCAGTCTGAGAACGAAATGATATGTAAAGCTATTTATCTGGTCAGGAAGAATGAATTGCTTCCAAACAACACTAACATTTAAATAAATATAAAAAATAAACTACACATTGTGATTTGATGACTGTTAGCTTGACTACTTCTATAGAAAGTCCAGTATTTACAGTTACTATCCAATGCTGGCTTCAGCTAATCAATCCTTCATTAAATTAAATCAGGTACTTCTGATGGAATTCAAATCCATGCAATGACTGCAGTGAGAAGTCTGGAGCCAAACCTTATAACATACCAATAACTTTACTGAAAATAAGAAATCCATGTTCTGTAACTGTATCTATTAATGTATTTACAACTATTATAATAATGTTATAACGGTATGGGTGTGAACTGTGACAATGGAAATTCTATTAATTATGATTAAGTTTGCAAATGGTTAGCATCAATCAACAACTCAGTCCAGCACTCCTCTTGCCTCCCACCTAAGCACCGAACTATTCTATCATTCATTTGGGCAACTGTGTTTTTTTCTTGTGGAAACAACACAAAACAGAAAATCTTCAGACATTAACACAAAAACAGAACAGTGATATATTGTAAAGTGTGCAGAGGTTTGGTTCTGGTCTTCTCCTCGACGCCCCCAGCCACCACATGGAGTCAAACTGCACCACCAGCACACCTGATTTAATTTAATGACGCATGTATTAGCCAGACCAGCAATTAGACGATAACTATGAATAATACTGGGCTGCCATGAGGGGAGGTTTGAAAATGATCAAACAAACTCACCGACAGACATAAAATCACCACTTAGGGGCATTAATAAATTTTCTGAGCAAATAAACATTTATTAACCTGATAAACAACTATATATATATATATATATATATATATATATATATATATATATATAACTATATAGGCCTACAGTATTGCACTCTAAAATAACTAAACATCTATAAGAACACTGTTGAAGGGCAATTCCATCTATGTTTAGATATTTTCCAACATAATTAAATGGTTAAGATGTGAACAAAGTCATTCAGAGTGGTTTGGTGTGAAACGCACCGTTCTAGAGAAACTAGAGAGTCAGAATTGTTTACAGTGCAGCACCACTAGGAACCAGACATCTTTAGTTTAATGCCTCTAAAAGCTCCCTCACTGAAAGTTATTACACAAAAAGGTTATAAAGTATGCGGCCTAATGCTGAGACACTGATTTATGACAGTTCTGAAATAAGGTTTTGTTTTACATCATACAGGGGAGCGCGGGGGAACACCCTAACACGGGTCACAATTTAACACAGACTTTTTCCGTTGTTAAACAAAGTGGAGCAGCGTGAGCTTCTGGCCACGTTACCACATTTCCATGACACAGTCTCCAGTCAAAATTCAGAGCCATTCGTCAACGTTTTAAAAAGTGTTTTTTTAAAGATCTACACTAAAGAATGTTTTCAGGGCATTTAAGTAATTTTTTTTTTCAGTACAGTTTTTTTCAGTTACTGAGCTGTTTGTGTGAATCACAAAACCCAACCTCATATTACTTTAACCACCAGTGTGTTGCCTACAATGTAGCACCTTGACGAGCTCACAGCAAGTGCCAGCTAGGCTTAAGTACAGCGAGGTTAGCTGTTACACAGCTTTAGTAAACAAAGACAAATACAGTAAATTTTGTCTTTTTGTTCCAAATGTTTACACAGATTTTAAAATGAGAAAGAGAAACATCTGAACACAGGGATTTTCTTCTACTTTATTAGTGTCTTTCAGATGTCAGTATTTTGGTTTTGAAGATGTATATTAACAAAATTGACATTAAATGCTGGTAAAGCTGCAGTTATTCAGAAACAATGTTCCACATTTTACTGATGTGTGATATTTTTTATTTGCTGTCCTTCACTGGACAAAAATACATCTGTCATTGTTTGACACACAGTTTCATATCAGTTTTAATATATAATTTAATGTCGTGTGTATCTATCAGTTGAGCTGTCTGTCTGTCTTATAGATATATAGATAATATATAATTCAGTATGGCTGGAAAAAATATTTGTTTTTCACAACATAGAACTATACTGAACTCACTTTGTTTGCACTAATTCACCTGACTTTTCTAAGAAGTGTTACCACAAACCATCTGTCTGTTACAGTGAACCCACCCATGTGGTAAACAGTAACACTTCGCTACCTGTCATTTTCGGTGGAATTGGACCTGAACGGTAGGTGCTAGAAACTTCACGTGTTCATTTGTAGCATTTTTCAGATCTACCACTATTTTACAAGCATCAATACTACATATAGACTGTTAGAAATAAAGGTTCTGTTCAGGTACATTTTTCATTCATCAAGGTACAAACAATGTAAAAGTGCCCTGAAAGGTACAACAGTGGTTTTAAGGTCCAATTTTGTACCTTAAATAAGTTTTTCCAGGTGAAAAGTACACATTTGTACCTTTTTATAACCAAATCTTTTAAAACAGAACAATAAAATAAAAGCCTGAAGACGAGACGGGGTGTGTGGAGTCAATACAACTTAAAAAATACAATTTCAGTGGAACGGTTATGTTCCCTGAATAAAGGTACTGAGATGTACCCTTGAGGGTCCCACCCCATTTTCGAGAGGAACTGCCCCAGTGACAGTTTCGTATCTTTTTTTATGAACTCAGAAAGCAAGTGTAGGTTCACTGGTGGTTCTAGATAGTAAAATAAATGTTGTAAACATACAGAGCCCTGCTGGTGACGTCCTGTATAAATAAAAATAACGTGTAGCCACAACTTAGTGCAGTGTGGGAATGAGATCATGCCTTATTAAGCAGTGGTTAAGGCTTAATTATCTAATTCCCATGCCTTTCTAAGTTGTGGCCATGCATCAGGATCTCGTTCCCACACCTTACTAAGTCATGGCCACACGTTAGCTTTATTTATACTGGATGTCAGCAGCAGGGCTTTCAGAGTTGCTGAAATCCACCGCAAGGCGCCATCTCACATCAAACCACTCTTCACCTTGTTTACATCTCCAGCACTGATCTCTGCAGACATTTTGAAAAATCGGTGGATTTGCCCTTTAAACTCCACCTGTACACAACGCTGTTCAGAGCCTCAGGGTTTCTATCCGTTTAAAGTCATTCAGGTTCCCCTCACAAACTTCTGCACGCGGAGGTTCCCCTCACAAACTTCTGCACGCGCACGTGAGCCCCTGGCGGCGTCCAGTGCTGGACACTCAAAACATAAAAGCGAGTGATGCCCCCACAGTGTGGACAGAGCGTGAATGTGCGCGCGGGCTCCTCACCATGGCGTCGTAGCCGAGCTTATTCATGAAGTGCGCCGCCTCGGCGCCTTTGTAGTAGTTGAACCACACGGTGCCCTGAAACTGATCCCCCGCGTCCAGCAGCAGCACGTTCTTCTCCGCGCTCCGCAGCTCTTTGACCTTCGTGAACCTCCTCGCGACGCCGGCGAAGCAGGGGGGCTTCGAGCACTTGCCCGAGTCCTTGTTGGTCTCCTCGACGCGCGCGTGCACATCGTTCGTGTGCAGCAACACGAGCTCCCAGTCCGCCGCGCACACTAGCACGCACAGCAATAACAGCAGCGCGAGCAACGCGCGCGGCCACCGTTGCATGTCGCCGCGTGCCAGAGCGCTAAGTGACAGCGAGCTGCTGAGCAGGGGAGTGAAAACTGCAGCGCGCGGAGGGGCGTGTCCTCAGTCTCGCTGGCCAATAGGAACCGACATGGACCGTTTTACTAAAGTAGTGATTTAAAAACTCATTAAAAACCAGTTTTCAGACTTCAGATATTTACAGTGATTATTTTATGAGCTGTTTAAACACAAAATTAATAGAGATAGTAATAAAATATACATACAAACAAAATCATCATTTATAGGGTACTTTCTAGGTGTCTGATTCAAACTCTAACTCTAAATTTACACTAGTGAGAATAATAGTAAATATTTTAATATTTTTAAAAAAGATATTGTTTTTTATCATGAGATTAATTTTTAAAGAAAAAAACGCGGTCCCATGTTTTCACGTGATGATATGAACGCCTGCGTTTCTGGGGAGAATTGGTTTTACCTGGTGTTTACATATTTCCGTTTCTTGTGAAGAGAAGCTAAAATTGTCAGTACCGAAACAGTCACTACTGAAACGTAAGTTTTGATTGTTTTGTTGGTGACAAAAATGGAGTTAAGGTATAGGGTCATTCAAAGCAAGAGGATTTTAATGTAAAGTCCAAGTCATTTAAAAATGTGTTTTGAAGTTTGACTTTGAACCAGTTCAGTAGAACACTCCATACTGTCACTGTCAAAATAAATAAATTAATAAATAAAAAATGTACATATAAAACAAGTACCTACATTTTTTTGCGATTTTTAGTCTTCTGCGAAGTGTGAGTGTGGCAGCTGTTCTTCACATTGTGCACAAATTTCTTGATGATTGAACCAATAAAAAAGGTCCAAAACTGCTTGTAATAAAATCTATTTACATTGACTTACATTGAAAGTATAGAACGTCTTTGGCTTCTCCTGTAAACTTACCATTTCGGAGGTACTTGTTTTTCTTTGGACAGTGATGATATACAGCGGTCAGTACATGACACATAAAACTCACTCTTACACCAACAGCACTTAAAAGGACTCCTGAGAATACTCTACATTTACTGAGCCATATTTGTTAAACCATTATCCACGCATTTAAAAAGGATGGTTCTCCAAGGGTCCTTTAGTAATGAAAATGGTTCTATATAGAACCATGAACACTCAAAGAACCCTTGCATCGTTAAAGCGTTCTTCAGATTGATGGGGAGTGTGCTGTTTATGGTTCTATATAGAACCTTTTTGGAAAAGGGTTCTGTATAGCACTAAAAAAGGTTCTTCTATTATTATGATGTCAAGCGTGTAACAGTAGCAGAACCCTTTTTGGTGCTATATATATATATATACCATATTGAACCATCTGCAACACATTTCCCATCAATCTGAAGAACCCTTTAATGATGCAAAGAACCCTTCAATCATGCAAAGTGTTCTAAGTGTTCTTGGTTCTATATAGAACCGTTTTGTTTACTAAAGAACCCCTGGAGAACCATCTTTTTGAGAGCATAGTAATACTCACTACTATTACTGTGCAGTAACAAAAAATGTTGTTTTACCTTAAAAAAGTAAGTAGCCTTAAAATTTGCTATCTACTAGTTAATTTACTATCTAGTAGTAAATTAACAGAACCGTAATCTGTTTTACATTCTGTTTACTTATCAGTTGAAGTTTAATGAGCTCAAACACAAAAAGGTTACTTGCTTTTTTTTTAAGTTAAAACAACACTGTGCACTGAAAACACTGATAGTTTCAGTTTACGCAGAACATTTGAGGATGTTTTTTGCGTTGAATGAATTACACTTTAAGTTTGGTGTTTTCAATTACAGTTGTGTGCAAAAGTTTGAACACCCCAGTCAAATTACACCTTTTGGTGTTTTTCTAAGCAAAAATAAGTTAAGACTTCCTACAGGGAACAAGCTTAAATTTGGTGATTTGAGAGCACGATTGCTACCATACTGGAAAAAAATAAAACATATACAGCCGGTGAAATATGCATTGGACATGTCACCGATTTTCGAAGTAAATATATTTCTGAAGGTGCTATTGACATGGAATTCTCACCAGATGTCGGTAACAACCCATCCAATCCACACATGCAAAGAAATCAAACCATAGATGTCCATAAATTAAGTTATGTGTAATAATGAGAAATGACACAGGGAAAAAGTATTGAACACATGAAGAAAGAGAGGTGCAAAAAGCCATTAAAAGTCATGACACTAGCTCAAATCTATCAGTAATTAGAAAGCAATCCTGCCACTTAGTGCAAATTAATATCAGATGGTTCAACTGATGGCCTATAAAAAGGTGTCTCATTACCAAGGTGCCACACAAGAAACATCTCATGATGGGTAAAACCAGTGAGCTCTCTCAAGACCTTCGCAACCTTATTGTTGCAAAACATACTGATGGCATTGGTTACAGAAGAATTTCTAAACTACTGAAGGTTCCAGTGAGCTCTGTTGGGGCCATAATCCAGAAGTGGAAAGAACATTATTTCACCATAAACCGGCCACAACCAGGTGCTCCCCGCAAGATTTCAGACAGAGGAGTGAAAAGAATTATCAGAAGAGTTGTCCAAGAGCCAAGGACCAGTAGGGGAGAGCTACAGAAAGACCTGGAATCAGCAGGTACAATTGTTTCAAAGAAAACAATAAGTAATGCACTAAACCACCATGGCCTGTATGCACGCTCACCACGCAAGACTCCATTGCTGAAGAAAAAGCATGTTGAAGCGCGTTTAAAGTTTGCTCAACAACATTTAGACAAGCCTGTGAAATACTGGGAGAATATAGTCTGGGCAGATGAGACCAAAATTGAACTCTGGAGGTCAAAAGGCACTGCATATCACCCCAAAAACACCATACCAACAGTGAAGTTTGGAGGTAAGAACATCATAGTGTGGGGCTGCTTTTCAGCATACAGCACTGGCACGCTTCATATGAGTGAAGGAAAGATGAACGGCCAAATGTTCCGGGACATTCTTGATAAAAATCTGCTGCCGTCTACCAGGATGATGAAGATGAAACGAGGGTGGACATTTCAGCAAGACAATGATCCCAAACACACAGCCAAGGAAACTCTCAATTGGTTTCAGAGAAAGAAAATAAAGCTGCTAGAATGGCCCAGCCAATCACCTGACCTGAATCCAATTGAAAATCTGTGGAAGGAACTAAAGCTCAGAGGTCATAGAAGAAGCCCACAGAACCTTGCGGATTTGAAGAGTGTTTGTGTGGAAGAAGGGGCCAAAATCACACCTGAGCAATGCATGCGACTAGTTTCTCCATACAGGAGGCGTCTTGAAGCTTCATCACCAACAAAGGCTTTTGTATGAAGTATTAAATACATTTCAGTAAGCGTGTTCAATACTTTTTCCCTGTGTCATTTCTCATTATTACACATAACTTAATTTATGGACATCTATGGTTTGATTTCTTTGCATGTGTGGATTGGATGGGTTGTTAACGACATCTGGTGAGAATTTCATGTCAATAGCGCCTTTAGAAATATATTTACTTCGAAAATTGGTGACGTGTCCAATACTTATTTCACCCGCTGTATGTGGCCTTTTGCACAGACCACATTTCCCCAAATATGTCAAACTCAGAAAATAAACAGGGATTGTTCATTAAAATGTGCAGAAGCGTGTTCTCTGTAGTGGATGTGTGCACTTATTTTCACTTACACTCTTACAAAGATGGTTCTTCTATGGTTCTTCAGTGAAGAAAATGGTTTTATATAGAACCATGAACACTCAAAGAACACTTTGTATGATTAAACGGTTCTTTATATTGTGAAAGTTTCTTCAGACTGATGGAGAATGTGTTGTAGATGGTTCTGTATAGAACACTTTTTAAAAAGTGTTCTATATTGCACCAAAAAGGGTTCCACCATTGTTACATGCCAAAGAACGCTTTTTTGGTGCTATATAGAACCCTTTTTGCTAAGAGCGTAGAAAACATGTGTTGAACACATGCGAGTCGTTAAGGTTAAAAGACAAAGTCTAGGAAGTTATCAGTCAAAATAATGGTGTTAACTTGAGCTGTTTAAGTTAAAGTGGAGACAGCATCAAACTTTCTTCCTGACATAGGATAAACTATCTGTTCCATAAGAGCTTTCAGAGTTATGTACTCTTACATCAGACAAAGAGCAGAGAGCTAATAAACAGAAACCGACCAAGCCGCCAAGAACTCTGGGAAAACACATTCCATTGTCTCTTATAACTTATAATCTAGTTGAGTTTGTTCTTCTCACAAAAATAAATCAGCGTGAATGGAATGACAATGATGTAGATTAGCGGTCTCAGTCTTGTCTCACTTCTGTTTTGCCTTAGCATCGTTTGGACTCGGCCTTGTGTCGGTCTCAGAGTAAGGTGGATTCAGAGATTGTCCTTGAGATCAGGTGAGTGCTTCTTTCTCTGATGGCTTAACTGGGTATTATTTATTCATTCGTCCCGAAACTCATCCCCAAAAAAACATCTCCTGAAGGCAGTTGTTATTTTGTTATTATGTTATTATGCACATTACTATATTATGTTATTATGTATCATTACTATATTACTGTGTTTTAGTATATTACTATGTTTTCATTTAACAATACAGATGGATGTATGTTGTTCAGTTTACATTCAGTTGACTTTAGGTGGTGATTCTAAATAAGGATTAGAGAGGAAGGTACAGAAAAGTATATTATATATACACTATACAGACAAAAGCATTGGAACTCCCCTCCTAATTATTGAGTTCAGGTGTTTCAGCCACACCCATTGCTAACAGGTCAATCAAATTAAGCACATAGCCTTGCAGCCTTGATAGACAAACACTGGTAACAGAAAGGGTCGTACTGAAGAGCTCAGTGACTTTAAACATAGCACTGTCGTAGGTGCCCCCTCTGCCACAAATCAGTTTGTGACATTTCTGTCCTGCTAGATCTGCCCTGTCAACTGTAGGTGCTATAATTGTGAAATGGGAGCAGCAACAGCTCAGCCACAAAGTGCTAGACCGCACAAACTGGAGTGGAGCTGCTGAGTGCT